CATAAATAAAACACCTTTTATTCATCATTCAATGTCAATTACACTTTACAAATTTCATAATTTATCTAACTACTAAAACTTATATCATCCTTCAGCCCTATGCTTCGAGCATGCTGAAGATGCTTAACTCTACTCAGTCCCTTCGTGAGGGGATCTGTTGGGATCTTACCCTCTTCGCCATGAGGATTCCTTCTTCTATGTGATGTCTGATATAATGATATTTTCTGTCGATGTGCTTGGATCTCCCGTGATCCCTTGGTTCCTTAGCTAAGGCAACCACACTTTCACTATCACAGAAAATTTCCATGGGCTCTTTTATAGCTGGTACAACTCCAAGGTCTGCAATGAAGTTCTTTAGCCATATTTACTCCTTTGATGCCTCGCTCGCTGCTATATACTCTGATTCACAAGTGGAATCCGCCACTGTCTCCTGCTTGGAACTCTTCCAAGTGATTGCTCCTCCGTTTAAGGTAAAGACCCAGCCCGACTGAGAGCGGAAATTATCCCTATCAATCTGGAAGCTAGCATCACTATACCCTAAAACTCTCAAGTCATCACTCCCACCGAGGGTAAGGACCCGATCCTTAGTCCTCCGTAGGTACTTGAGGATATTCTTTACCGCAGTCCAGTGTGCCTTGCCAGGATTCCCCTGATACCTGCTAACCATGCTCAAGGCAAAGGCTACATCAGGTCAAGTACACGTCATAGCATACATGATCGAGCTTACTGCTGAAGCATAAGGTACTTGACTCATTTCTGCTATCTCAGCCTCGGTACTTGGGCTTTGTGTCTTACTCAATCTGGCGTTACTCTGGATGGGTAACTCTCCTTTCTTGGAGTTTTGCATGCTGAATCTCTTCAACACCTTGTCCAAGTATGTACTTTGACTAAGTCCAATTAGTCTTTTACTCCGGTTTCTCAAAATCCTTATCCCTATAATATAGGCAGCTTCTCCTAGGTCCTTCATAGAGAAACACTTCCCAAGCCAGGACTTAACTTCCTGCAGAGTTGGGATGTCATTTCCTATGAGTGGTATGTCATACAATACCAAAAAGCTAACTATACTCCTACTAGCCTTGACATACACACAAGATTCATCTTCACTCCTAGAAAAGCCAAATTCCTTGAACTTTTCATAAAAACAAAGATTCCATCTGCGAGGTGCTTGCTTTAATCCATAAATGCATTTCTCAAGCTTACACACTCTATTAAGGTACTCGTTGCTGACAAAACCTTCTGGCTGACTCATGTAAACATCTTCAGTCAACTTTCCATTAAGGAAAGCGGTTTTGACATCCATTTGCCAAATTTCATAGTCATGAAATGCAGCTATGGCTAACATAACCCTAATAGACTTAATCTTGGCTACTGGAGAAAAGGTCTCATCATAATCCACTCCAGGAATTTGAGAGAAGCCCTTTGCAACCAGCCGAGCCTTATAAGTGTGTACATTACCATCCATGTCAGTCTTCTTCTTGAAGATCCATTTGCATCCTACAGTATTACGACCTTGTACATTCTCAACCAAGTTCCAAACTTGATTGTCATACATGGATTGTATATCGCTATCCATAGCCTCTTTCCATTTAGCAGACTCAGGGCCTGCCATGGCTTCCATGTAGCTGCTAGGTTCATCCAGACCTACTAGTGTCTCACCTTCCGCAGTAATATGGAAACCATAGTAATGCTTAGGTGCATTCCTAACTCTCGTGGAATGCCTCAGAGGTACAGACTCGTTAATTGGCTCAACAGGAGTTTCCTCCTCAAGCTAAGGGCTAGGGTTTGAAGTTCCTTCACCGCTGGACTCTTGAATTTCTTCAAGGTCAATTTGCCTCCCACTATCTCCTTGGCTTATAAATTCTCTCTCTCGAAAGACTCCTCTTCTTGCTACAAAGACCACATTATCACTAGGTCTGTAGAAGAGATAACCAAATGATCTTTGTGGGTAGCCGATGAAAATACACCTCTCGCTTTGGGGTTCTAGCTTATCATGAGACTCGCGCCTCACAAAATCCTCGAACCCTAAATCTTGATGTGGTCTAGTTTAGGTACTTTACCAGTCCACATCTTGTGAGGAGCTTTGGCAACTTTCTTTGTAAGGACTAGATTAAGAATATGGGCGGCAGTCTCTAAGGCATACCCCCAGAATGAAATTGGTAGCGAAGCTTGACTCATTATGGAACGAACCATATCCAACAAGGTTCGATTACGCCTCTCAGCCACACCATTCAACTACGGTGTCCTGGGAGGTGTCAATTGTGAGACAATCCCACATTCCCTAAGATAGTCGAGGAACTCTGAACTAAGATACTCACCACCTCGATCGGATCGAAGCATCTTATCGTTCCTGCCCAATTGATTCTCGACTTCCTGTTTAAATTCCTTAAACCTTTCGAAAGTCTCTGACTTATGCATGATTAAGTAGACATATCCATATCTACTGTAATCATAAGTAAAAGTCAAATAATAACGATTAGCATCCTTTATGGCATGTTTGAATGGTCCACACACATCCGTGTGTACAAGGTCCAACAAACCTTCACCCCTCTCACAAGAGCCTGTGAAGGGTGACTTTGTCATTTTCCCATGTAAGCATGATTCGCAACTATCATCTGACTTTAGGTCAAATGACTCCAAGACTCCATCCTTTTGGAGTTGGCCTATGCGTTTCTTACTTATATGTCCAAGACGAAAATGCCATAATGATGCTTTATCCAAGTTATTATTATTAACAGAATCAATACACAATACATTATTTCCTAAGTTATCAACCACAGATACTATTTCATACACGCCATCACAAGGTAATGCTTTAAAATAAAGAACATTATTAAGGAAAGCATTAATCGAACCAACTTCATTATCAAATGAAAAGGTGAAACCTTGTTTATACAATGCATGAAAGGAAATAATATTTCTTGCCATTTCTGGCGAATAACAACACTTATTCAAATCTAAACTAAACCCACTACTTAGTGATAAAGTATAAACTCCAATCTTGGTGACAGGTGAAGCTTTCATGTTTCCCATGATCAAGTTTATTCTTCCTTGCTCCACATTCTCACTTCTTCTTAGTCCCTGTAAATCAGAACAGATATGAATACCACAACCGGTGTCATGGACCCAAGAATTAGAATGGGGTGAGTTATTAGATAAGATAGTGTAAATACTTGCATGGTTGGGTTTAACTTTCCCATCCTTCACATCTTGCTGGTACTTTGGGCAGTTCCACTTCCAATGTGCCTTTTCATGACAATAGAAGCATTCAGCCTCTTTTGGGTCAGAAGAAGGAGTGATGAAACCTTTCTTGGTTCCACTTGAAGAAGAGCCATCAAGGGTCCTAACCTTGGTACCCTTCGAAGAACTGTTTCTCTTCTTCCCTCGTCCTTTCCCGATTGCCAAGACAGGGGCGGAGTTGATAGGAGTAGGAGTAGTAACAACCGCCTTACCCTTAAGACCACTTTCCGCGGTCTTTACGAGTCCTTGAAGTTTGCTGAGAGTGACCTCTTCCTTGTTCATGTGGTATGTCGTGCGGAATTGATCATAACATGAAGGTAAGGAGTGCAAAATGATATCTATTGCAAGCTCCTCGGGGAAGTTCACATTAAGTTTTAGCAAATGGTCCACAAATCTTTTCATTTTCTGTATGTGGCCCGTGATGGGTTCTCCATCCTTCATGTGAGTTGTTATCATGGAGGAGATGATTTCATACCTCTCTTGTCGTGAACTTTGATGGTATCTTTCCATCAAATCTTGGTGCATCTCAAAAGGGTAGTAATCCTCATAGGACTTTTAAAGATCGGCTGTCATAGTGGCCATCATGATGCATGCCACCTTGGTGGCATCCCTTTCATGTGCCCTAAAGTCAACGATCTCTTGAGGAGTAGCAATTGTCTCATCGATCTCCTTAAGCTCCTTATCGAGGACATATTCTTTGACCTCGTAGCGGGTAATCATTCGGATGTTTCTGATCCACTCATTAAAGTTGGATCCATCAAAAGTGACTTTCCCACACAAGTTCATAAGAGAAAAGGAGCCATTAGGATTAGAGCCAGAAGCAGCAGTGTTTGCAGACATCTGAAGAGAAGACACTACTAGAAAAATAGCCTTTTACAACGCGCAAATAATGACACTCATTAATTTATGTTACGCAACTGAGAGTGACATTAAAAACGTGTCATCTATTCAGAAAATTTAAGGATTTAGATCACGCATTACTGCGCGCCCTTAAATTATTGTCAGAACAAAAAAATTAAAAACACGGAGGGCGCTATATCTTAAATGCGCGCCCTCTGTAGGTGTCGCTTTATAATTTTTATGAACGCGCGTTCTTTAGTTACAAGCGGGAAAAGAAAAGCCGAAAAAATTAGAAAAGCCTGCTACCTCTTTGACCCAAGCGTTTTGACGCATCTTTCATTCTCCTCACACTGTTGTGCAACCTATTTCAAGGTTACGATTTCATCTCCATCTCTCGACTTCATCATCTCAATGAAGAAAAAAGGCTTCTAATTTCCATTATCTGCTTCATCTCTGCTGTGATTTCACCTACTTCATCTCTGCTGTTCTTGAGAAAAAAGGCCACCCAAGTATTAACTCTTCAAGATTCAGGGCCCCAACACCCTATTTACATCGAACCACCAACACCACCGCAAACAAAGGTTCGAATCCCCCTTTCCCACCGGTCGAAAATCGCTTCTCCTTACAAGCCCAACATCCGATTGACGGGTTCGATTCTCCTCTTTTGGTTATATAAAGGTATGTTGTGCTTACCATCGTTCATCTACCTTTTCTCCATCCACACTCGGTACCTTTTCGTATTTGGATCTGTTAACACTATACGTCTCTTCTTTTTCCTCTCATACCGACGAATTAGGGCCAAATCTTCACCATCTTCAGTCAACTATGGAGGCCAACAACACAAAGAACTATGAGATCTTGGGTGTTCAAGTCCATCGATTTCTTTGTTGGTGTTGCTTCAATCTTGGGATTAGAGAATTGAAATGGGTCTGACTGAAGAGATCGAAAACAATGGTGGCATATGGGCTTTGGAGCAGAAGATCGATCAACCAATGGACGAAGAGGCTGGTAGTACAGGTTTAGGTTGATGATGCTTCATCGCCTGTGAGTTCTCTTCTGTAATTCTTTCGTGGTTCTGTTTCTCTTATTATAACTGCTTCTTGGATTTTATTGTTTTGTTAGGACGATTTATTGTTTAATCGGCAGAATAGGGCTAATTATTTATGTTTTTGATTGAAATCGATGCTTGAACTTGGGTCGGTTTGCGAATTTACTCTTGTTGATTGGAAAATTGTACAGGTTTAGGTTGTAGGTTTCTTTATAATTCTTGCCTTACTTCAATTTTGAGTTCTTGTTGATCTTTTTACTTTAATTTTTTGCCCCATTTTGGTTTGACCAGTAGGTTATTTTGTTTTAGTGTAATTGATAGCTTAGGGCTAACCATGGTATGCTCAGTTGTGATAATCTCAGTGCAATTCTCTCTAGTTGAATTCTACTTTTCTATTTGTCTACGTGAACTGCCTTGTAGCTTTTGACCTGTGTGTGGTTCATTATGAGATGGAATGAAAAACTACATATTTTCTTTGACTAGTTGATAAAAGTTTATGAATTTTCTTTGTATGCTTTTGGAAAAAGAAGTTATTAGTTTAATACTTATTCTTCTTTTAACATCATTTGTTGCACAGAGTAACAAAATTAGAGGAGGAAGAAAAGAATATATTAGAAACGAGTAAGAGGAAATTCTTTGCAGAAATACTTAATGCAATAAGGGAACTCCAGTTGCAAGTTCAGGCCTCTCAAAAACGTAGGAAGCAAAGGAATGATGTTGTTCAGGTATGTAAATTATTTCCCTATATTTATATCTATGTATAATCTATAATGTATCTAGTTTTATACATAACCTGATTAGTTCTACTGCCATATGCTTCTATCATGTTGCTATTAAAGTGTATTGAGCTTATTTGGTTTTCTTTTAGATAAGCCTTGATGTTATCTTTTTTGTTGTTACAGGCTTTGGTGCCACTATTGTTGAAAATTCTTGTGTCTGCCCCTCAAGTTATATTTGGATGCTATCTTATTTAGCATATATAGATGTAACCGTTGTCCTTTTAATATGTTAAGAACCAAGTTTTATTCAGTTAAGTTATCTATAGCACCAACCAATATTGTTCCTCTGTTTTTTCTTGTTTCTGCTGTTCTAATCCCTCTTTTCTTCTCCCCTAGTTCTTCTGTTTTTCCTTGGTGAACAAGGTACAGGTACAACTGCGAATATCACCCATTACATATTCAACAGAAGTAAAGGAAAAAAAGTAATTGGTAGGTTGAAATTGAGAAATTCTCCATGATTTCATTTGTCATATACTTACTTAAGTATACCTCCATCTTATTAGATGAAGATCCTGATTTGGAGGAAGATGAGCAGCTTGCCATGGCTATTCAAGAAAGCTTGAACATCAACATGAACTCACCACCACGAAATAACCATGGAAGCATGTTTCCTCGTTTGCCAAGTTTCTTTCCAAGTGTATACAAGTAGTCTTTTTTAATACTTATTTTTTCTTCCAATATTACCCTTTGCAATCCATCTGAAACATGTGGAATGTAGGATATGTGCAGGTTGCAATGGTGAAATTGGTCATGGGAGGTTTTTAAGCTGCATGGGAGGCGTTTGGCATCCAGAATGTTTCCGTTGTCATGCTTGCAATATTCCAATATCTGATTATGAGGTCCAACTCTACTCCAATTCTTTAACAAGGTGTTCCTATATTCCTTCTAAATCGACACCATAAGGTTTATAATTTAAAGACAAAAAAAGATGTCGGATTTGGATTCAGAAGTCCATGAAAATCACAACATTTCTTGTTTCTTGAAAGTTTTAATTTCAAAATTTTACCTTTTTACCCTTTATCATCTATGTAGTTTTCCATGTCTGACAACCGTCCGTTCCACAAATCATGCTATAAAGAACATCCTCACCCAAAATGCGATGTTTGCAATAACTTTGTAAGTTTCTTGTTTGTTATGCACTTTTGAATCCCTAAATACATATCCTAGCTCAATCATCTTCGCATAAATCTCCCAGAGATAACCAGTAATTTGATTTTATTGTAAATTAAAAAAATGGTCCCTATGCCTCCTGTTTTGACCACGTTTAGTCCAAAATTAAATTCTTTTTCAGTTTCGGTCCTTATCTCAAGTTTTCATATCGATTTTGGTCCTTATTTCAAGGTTTTAAGAACCAAAATCAATATGAGAGCTTGAAATATAAGGACTGAAGTTGAAAAAGTTGTCAAATTTAGACTAAACACTATAAAATCAGAAAGCACATGGACCCTTTTTGTAACTTAAAGTTTATATATGCATCTGAAAGTTTAGATTTGAATAGTTATTTGAGACCTTTCCACATGTGATAAATTCTTCCCAAGTTTTCTATTTTAATGTCAAATCTTTAACATAACTTTGTTCACCTCATCAACTTCCAATCTAAATTAATGCAGCAAAGACGTGGGCTTAGTGAAAGAACTCATGGATGATTGTTTGACTAGTCAACTCTCCAATTCCCTTCGTCTACACGATGTTGTTTCTGCATTGGGCCCCATGTATGAAGGTCATGACAACATTGGATGCAAAAAATTGCAGTCTCAAATCAACCACTTGGAAGGCACTAAAGGTTTGACTTTTTTTTATTATTCCGAATAGCTTTTATTAATCCTTGTAATTATACTTTTATCTTTTTTCTATCAGATGTGCATCCTCAGTTCAGTCCTTGATAAGTGCCTAAGGCTGCTTGGTTTTGAGTCGGCAGCACCTTGCGATACCTCTTGCAAACTCAGGTATGTAGCTTTATTATTCCGAATAGCTCTTGTTTTCTAGTATTAGAAGATCATATGTCTTGATTTCATGCATAACAATAGAGAGATATTGCAGCATCTTTAATAGAGCTATGTAGCATTATAATCCTTCAAATGTGATGGAAACATATGAGGTGCAGTGGATAAGCAAAGAAAACTCTTAATCCCAATGATGTCAATAATCTTCCAGAAACTAAAAATCTTCATTGTTTGTACGATGCATGATATATTTGCATCCCATGCTATATTATTTAGATGCTTTAACTTTCATTAATTGGTTTGAATGTTGGTGTTTAGTAATTAAACTCAATTTATTCCTCTTTTTATTAACAACTTTTATTTATTCATGATCTTCAGCTATCTTCTGCTTGTGGGCGGCTTGTAATTTCAAGTGATGGAGTCTGGGATGCTCTTTCCACTGAATCAGCTCTGGAATGCAGTCGTGGATTGGCTCCGGAATCAGCAGCAGCACAAATTGTCAAAGTACGAAAACAAAAAAAATGTTAAATTTGTAATAAAATATTATGCAATGGATTCTATTTTTCTATGACATTAAATTTTATGAAATGGATTATATATTTTGTATATGATATTTTATTTTCTATTATGATGCATTAAATGCAAATTTAATTTGAAAATTAGTAAATCTATAAAAAAATATATTTTTTTAAACATTTAAAATTATGATACGCAAAAATGTGTGTCATCTTCATTTATGACATGGCCTTTCTTGACAGGGGCTTTCTTGATACACATTGCGTGTCATTAACACGCGCGTCGTAAGGTTACGACATGCGAATGCGTGTTGTCTTCCTTTATGACAGGGCCTTCCTTGATACGCATTGCGTGTCGTAACTGCGCGTCGTAAATGAGCGTCGTAAAAGCGCGTCGTCTCTCTTTATGACAGGGCCTTCCTTGACGCGCATTTGCGCGTCGTTAGAGCCATTTACGACGCGCAATGAGTGTCGTAAAAGGCTGTTTTTCTAGTAGTGAGAAAAGTTTAGTTTAGAAATAGAGATAGTCCTTAATAAAACACCCAAATGTAGTATTAAGGCTAGGACCCAATCACAATATATTATACTTAGAAGAGGTATGCGGTAATCTAAGTAATAACATATTTGAAAGGTAGGTGAATGACGATTCACCAATTTCCACCAAAGTTGAAATATTAAAATATTTAATTTGGTTCTTAGAAACTCCTAGATTCTTTTGAGATTCAATGAACTTTTCAAAGGCATGTTTCAATCTCGAGTGTGCCCTCCAAGTTTTGTGACTGGGATGCCGAGGATCACAAAACGAGGTGTGAAGTAACCATGCAAATTACTTGGTATCCTTAATAAATTACCCCTCAATCGATGTGCCGGTTAAACACACACGCTCCATCGATACTATGATAAATATTAAGTCACCCTTTACCTACGTTTTTAAGTCCAAGTTAGTGTGCTGGTTAACCACACATGCTCCACTAACAACTTAGACAAAGTGTAAAGTGTAATTTCATGGATTAGCACCTTATTCACATTTTTCCTAAAGTAACTAAGATTGGGAATTTAATAAAACATTTAGTTACTTTATAATATTCATCATACTTTTAATGAGAATTTATAAGTCCTTGTCTTACCTGTTCGGCTAACGACCCTCCACCGGTCAAGCAAGCGGTGGGTGAGAGTGGACACCCATTAAGTTGCCATTTTATAAGCAACAACCTTATACCCGCCTTATAGACCGGCTTCGTGAATGGGGCGTACTAGCGGTATGGCGACTTTAATCTTTTATATATATATATATATATATATATATATATATATATTTAACTTATAATATTATAAGTATAAGGATTGAATTTTAACGTTTAGAATTCTAAGGGTTGGAACTAAAGTTTTTAATATGACTTTACTTGTTCCAAAACTTGAGGGCAAGTTTTGTAAAATTTCAAAACTTTTCATTTCTTGTAACTTATGAGTTAAATAAAGTAATAATGGTTTTAATTCAAGTGAGACTCTTGGTTGTCCATAACTTGAGGACAAATTATGGAATCCATTAAAACACATTATGATCAAGAATTAAACTACCACGTAGGTTACAAATAATTCCTATGATCATCTAAACATCATAAGATCAAGAACATAAATATGAACACTTTCATGAATCAAAAATTACACTTAAAAACTTGTAATTTTGATAACTTGTTGTTGTAAATGGATTAACATGAACATTACACCAACTAAATCAAGTCTTAAAACACCAAGACAGTTTAGGGTAATATTCCTAGTCCATTTCCAGCAACAAGAACCGAAATTCTGAAAACTACAGCCTCTACTCGTCGAGTGCATGAACTGACTCGACGAGTAGCTTGCATTTGGTCATGGACTCGTCGAGTCCCCCCATGGACTCGGTGAGTTCATACGGGCAGAAAACAGAAAACTTGATTTTTCAAGCACTTTGCACAAAAATCAAACAAGCAAGCCTAGGCTCTGATACCATTGATGGGTTTTGAGCATCCTAACACTTCCTAAGTGTACATGCAACCCTAATAACCTTGGATCTATGTTTTTCTAATTATCATGCAAAGTTGATTTCCAAGGCTATGACCCTATCTAGCATACATGGGGAACAATTCTAAATTGAATAATAGATAGAATTACATACCTTGTTGTTGTAAGTGTTCCTTGAAACCTTGTGAGCCTAGCACCTCAAGTGTGATGCCTCAAATGCTACACACAACACCAAATGCAAAGTATAAACTTGAGAGAATACTCTAACACACTCAAAATCGGCCAAGCCCTCTTATTTCTCTAGTGTATCACTAGTGTAGCCGATTTTGGGGAGAGACATGGTCCTTATATAGTGTGTTGCATTAGGTAAAACCCTAATGTAACATGACTTTTCATTTATCAATCCATGGGTTAACTCCATGGAGCATCCTATGGGTGAAACCCAACTTGATAATCCATGGAGCCTTTTAGCCCACTATATAAGATATGGAAGATTTACATAATCTACCCATATATTTAATTAGTTATCCTTTTGATCACTTAATTAATTCTAAATTAATTCTTGATCAAAACTAATTAAATAATATTATTAATATATTAGAACTTATAATATATTAATAAACCATATGTGTTATTTCTCTCATTTAGTTTATCCAATTGCATGGTGCCATGCAACCCAAATGGACCATGTCGGGTCGGGTCAAGTATTTACCAGAAATAGTTATGGACTTAGACACCTTATCCAACAATAACGTCTAGAGTCATTATACAATCTTGTTTCGTTGATGATTCCGGGATGAAATCATCAGAAGGGGGAGATAATTGTAACGCCCGTAGATCCGGGCTAGTCAATTTAAAGGCAATAGGGGTCGAAAACGACTTTTCGACAAAAGATTATTAAGAATAAATAATCTCAACCAAGTTGTATTATATGTTACAAGGTTTCCGTACATATAATTAGTGTTGAAATCCGAGTTATAACGAAGAAGTTATGACCCGTCAAAGTTTCGCGATGGAACCGACACGATACCGAGAAGCATAAATACTGAATTTATGATAGAGCGAGATTTAGGTAGTGTTTGTTTTTTATCTGCAGATCTGCGAGACGTCTTCTGTCTGCGCCGCGCAGACCACGCGCAGACATTAGTCTTCACAGATTGTTTGTTTTTTTGAAGACTGCAAACCTAAAAATGTCTGCGCGCCCTCTTCTTGGCGCAGATGTGGACCAGAATCTTCTAACATCTTCAGACATCTTCTAGCTTAAAAAAACATATATATCTTTATTTTTTTTAAGTTTTTTTTATTTATATTTTTTCCAACTTTATTAATGATAAACAATATGAAAAAAAAATTACAAAACTTAAAAAAAAACATTTGACGATACAAACATGATATTTTTAACAAATTTATAAATAAAAATTTATTATAATAATAGTCGTTGAAGTTGTTTATATAAATATGAAAAAAAATCATAATATATTTTTATATTTTTTTGCCAAAATTTTGTAAAACTTTATTTAATAGAGTATCATCAATTTCTAGAGAAAATATTTATCGTACGTTTTTAATAGATTTATTTGAAAAAATCGAAGTTTATTTCCATCTATTTATGTATCAAATTCTTTGATCACTAATTATAATTTTTAGTTATAACTTTGCAATCAAAGTTGTTGGTTTTTATCAAATATGTATATGAATTAATACCATTTTTATTTTTATTTTTTATATAATAATACATAAAAGTTGATCTAGATTCGTTATATATTTATAATAAAGTCGTAAAAATATATAAAAAATTCACTTTGAAGTTTTGAAAAATCAGTTTATTTAGATTTCAGTTTATTTTAATAGCCCGCAGATGTTAAAAAAACAAACAGTCTTCTTTTTTCAGACTGCAGACGTTTGGTCCACCTCTTCTACTGCAGAGGTCTACAGATGTGGTCCGCAAACTGCAGACATTTTGCCTCAGAAAAAACAAACAGCACCTTAGACTTAGCGATCTAAACAAAAATCGTCGAGTATGTTAAACTAAGAACATCGATAAAAAGAACGCCCAAATCTGACTTCGTATAAAGAAGTTATGATTTTTTTGAAGTTTCGGATTAGCGGTGTACAACCCGAAATCCGAATATTAGATCGAGCGATTTTTAGCCGACACGACCTAAATGAGAATCGAAGATCTCGTTAAGAGTAGCATAACGAGAAAAAAGATGTGCAAAAATGGACGTCGGATGAAGAAGTTATGAGGATTTAACGGACCAATTCTATCCCGGCCTGTTAATAATATAACTTTTAAAATAGAGTAAAAATTAGCCGATGGAGTCTAATCGAAAGTTGTAGAGTACGTTCCCACCTTCATGTAGATATAAAGAATGTCGAAAACGAAGCTCGTACGCAAAAGTTATGATTTTTAGAAGTCGAGAA